CAGACTTGGGCCTTCCCATCTCCTATTAGCATAGATAACGGAGTTGTCTATGTAGTGATAAAGAAGCTGAAGATAGTTTCCCATAAATCTCCATGGCTTGTCTCTGGCTTCCCTGGCTTGGGTCATACCAATGCATCATCTTCCCAGGCCAGCTGCCATTTTCCCTCTCAGCTGCCCCCTTCCAGCCCTAACCTCTGAGCCCAAGCAGAGTCCACTCCCACATTGCCTGTCCTTCCAGTGTCTCAGGAGCACTCCGGCCTTTCCTGGAACGCTTCCTCTGTTCCAGCTCACTTTGTCACTGGAAGCATTTCACACTTAACTTCACCAAATGAACCACTGGGAACCTTAAACAAAGACTCCTGCCCAAGTACAAGGTTCCAAATGTCCTTGGAGGATTTAATTTTCTCCATAATAAATGAAACAACTTATCATTTTAAATGTATTTTTGTAGACCTCAGAAGCCACCAGGAAGGAGAAATAAAAAATAAAAAACCAGCTCCTCATGTTCTGAAGCCATGAACAGGCTAAGTATTTTTCTTCTGCTTTTGACAAAACCCACTTCCATGAAAAATGCTACGTTCACATAAATTGTTTTGAAATCATTAAGTTTCATAAAATTATAACACACTTTGCTCTAAAATTGAAGTTCTTCATACAGTACGTCTTTTCTTTTTACCACAGATGACTTAAAAATTCATGGTAATGTGCTCTAAAATTTTAGTTCTTCATACAGTACGTCTTTTCTTTTTACCACAGATGACTTAAAAATTCATGGTAATTAAAATAATATCATTTTACCAAACTAGTTTCAGTAATAAATGATGGTAATTGTCATAATAATAAAAAAGAATAAAAGCAGACATGCATCCAGCACCTACTATATGCTGATCTCTTTCCTATTATCCTATTATTCATGCTTCCTACTAACATCTGTTTTATCCTTAAGGGCACTTGTGAGACACACAGACCCCATTCTTTGTCTATGAGTTGGTATTTCTTTTTAAAAAGTTGGGTAAGGCCCTTAGTATTGATAACTGGTAAGTATTGGATCCCCAGTTATTGGGTATCCTCTGCCAATGCAATAAGCCAAATCAAAACAAATTAATAAATCCAGGCGTAATAAACAGAGCAAAGCACTCCTGGGTAACTCAGGGGAAGCAGGAGAGAGCGCGCACATGGCAGTTCTGGTGACCAGGTCTTAAACAGCCTGTAGGCGTGGTCTTGATCAGCTCTGGGGAAGGAGCTGACCCTTTCTGAGCTTCCTGAGGGGCAGGGTCTGGAATGGGAGGAGTGGAAGCTGAGGAGGAGCTTCTACCTAGACAAGAACATCTTCCCATTCTGAGTAAGACTTTCTCTTGAGCAAAGTCTTCAGGTGACACCTTACCAAGCTAAAGGAGAGAATAGTGTGAAATACAGAGTTAGCATAGAAAACCAGCCTTCCTTGGAATTTTCTATCATTAATCCAGTTCTTATGAAGATTTCACCAGCAAGGTTCCTGGGACCCTCCTCTAAGGAAATCTTATGACACTCAGCCCCTCTCTTCTATGGGGTCCTGACTCAACCCCTGAAGACCTCAAACCATTCACAACTGTTTCTAGTAAGCAGCCTATACAGTGAGTTTTTTTTTTTGTCAGCATTGACATAAACTTTTAAAAACTGAGAAAATATACCCAGTTATTCTCAATATTTCTGAAGTCATTTAAGATTTTTGTTGTTGTTGTTGTTGCTTTGTTTTGTTTTTAATGTGAGGGTTTTTTATGTATTTCATTGTTGTTGGTGTTTGGTTTGGATTTTTTTGTTGTCGTTGTTGCTTTTTTTTTTTAACTTTTCTTTGGAGGCAGGCTGTTCAGCATGATTACAGATAGGGACACTGAATAGTGAAACCTGGATACAGAAGTCTCAGTGGGACTGTGGTGGGCAGATAGTCCCAAACCCCTTACTTTACAGCTGGAGACTCTTACAGCCCAGAGGAGTGAGGCTCTCCCAGGGCCTGAGTGGGAAGCTGGCTCCCACATCTCCCTGGTTGCTGCTCTAAGGCAAGCCTCACAAAGCCCAGGCCAAAAAGGAATTAGCAACAGCGTACAAGCCGAATGCCTTTGCTGAATGCTTTGTAACTGCAATTTTAGAGGGAATAAGAAAGCTGAGGAAAAGGCTCTATGGAGATTTCAGTGCATCCAGCTAGCAGTTCCTACTCAACATAGATGACAGATGCAAGCAAAGGAAGGTTGGTGGGACAAGGGATGCACTAGGAATGATACTGCAACTACCAGATCATTCAGAAACTCTGCTGGTGCCTACGGTATCTTCCAGAGCAGTGATGAGAAAGCTTAGAAGGCAAAATGATTCTTATTTCATATTTCCAATCCAACTTCCCTCTCTGACTTCAATCTAAAAAACGATTGCATCCCACCAATGCTCAGAGAGGCAGTGTTCACAATAGTCAAAAGGTAGAAATGACCCACATAGCCAATGGATGAGTGGCATATATGATGGATCATGACTCTACCTTGAAAAGGTATGTACTAACATATCATACAACATGGACGAACTTTGAAAACACAAGAGAAAGGAGGTAACACAAAATGATAAATTTATCATGTGATTCAGCTTACATGAGGAATCTAGAGCAGGAACCTTCAAAGAGACAGGATGAGAACAGAAGATGCCAGGACTGAGGGCAAGGGGAACATGGGAAGTCAGTATATATGTGTTAGTACAGAGCTTCTGGCTGAGATAGTGAAAAGGCTGGTAAGTAAGGAATGGTGGTGTGAATACCACTGGGCTATATACTCAGAGAAGCTTAGAATGGTAAATTTTATGTTATATATTTGGCACCACAACAGTCATTCCTGCCATTTCTCAATTCAACCCTAAACTTTTATTCTTTTATTACCACATTTCATCTCCAGACCTACTTCTATGTATATTCACAAGCACCGATCCCCAGAGTCACAAGGGCCACTTTATGTCCTGCAAATGACCCTCCAAAAACATCTACCCACCCTAAGGCCTCCCACCTGATGACTCTAACAAGGAGGCCCAATGTGACCAAACACTCTGACACAGAGGCCCAGCCCAACCTGGAAGTTCTTACCATGGAACATGTATTTGTTGCACCTATTTTCTTTTTCTATAAGGAAAGCTGAACTCCTAACCCAGGCTAACCTCAGGAACCTCTCAACTTCTCACCCAAGGCCACTCCTCCAGGTCCACAACAAAGAGAGGAAGTCCATGTGTGGCTATATAAGTCAGCTACAAGATGTACTGAACAGTGGGCGTCCCCCACAAAGGTGCATTCTATTAGAAGCAAAACCTTTGTACCTTTACAGGACAGAGGACATAATAAGCAAGACGTAACATCTGTGACTTCTGAGGGAAGGAGAGCTTTTCATTTAACCTTAAAATAATCCATTTCTCATGCAGCAAAGACAACAAGAGTATTTTGAAATAGATGGCAGTGGCCGGAGAATCTGAGCTTTGCGGGTTGTGGTTCCAATTCATCACCCAGGCCCAGCAGGTGCCAGTCCCACGCATGCCACAGCCTTTCATCAACTTTAACATACAGGCTTTTGCACCTTCACCGTGGCAACAAGGCTGGTGGGCTGAGAGCTCATCTTTGGAAGAGGTTCAAGACCTGGAGAATTTTCTGGGATCCCTGTCCACAGCCAACACACATGGACATTTACACAAGGAAACTGCCACTTGACACCATTCCCTCCCGTGTGCCTCCTAAACACACAGGTTAAAATCACACGAAGATATTCAGAGACAAACATCTTTAGAGTGATATTTTGTTCTCAAGGTACTTAGTTAGGGCACACACATGGATGGGCTGGAGGACTGCCCTGGAATAGGTATTCCAACCTCTGCTTTATTCTTTCTGGAAGAACACATTTCCCTCACTGGACAGTCAAGAATCCATGTGGACACTGAAAACCAACAATCTTGGATGTCAGTCCACAAAGTGAGGCCCACCTTTCCAAGCAGGCTCCATCCACCTTTTCAGGCAACGCCCCGTTGCCATTGGACTAGTCTGTAGAATCAAAAGACATTTTCTTCATTCATCCTGGATAAGCAAAAGCTCCTACAGCCAAGTTAAATATGAACTTTTTTGACACCTCTCACTGATCTCCTCTGGCCCCTGCTCCTTTCAGCCACCACCAACTCCAGCCAGTTGTGTGTATGAGACTCCAGTGAGGGCATCACAATCCTAATGAACCTATCCTTTCTTTAAGCAGAAAGTGGCCTCCAAAGTAGCTCCATTTGAAGCCAGAGGTCAGAGTGCCAAATGAGGAGCTTGCAAACAGCAAAACTGACTAACACAACCACAGGTATGTGATGCCCAGGTTGCTTCACTCACAGGCCCCGATCCCTGATCATCTGTCTATTCATGGTGTCCCTTTCAGGTGTCATGTTTGCATACTGTGAAGCACAGATTGGGGGAATGTGCAGGCCACGGATCTGTACCTATTGATGCCCCTACAATCTGTGACCAGAGACAAAATGTTACTTGCAGCCAAGGCTTGCCATACGGGTGGTTTGCAGTGAGAGTCGAGAAGTAGAGAGGTTCATCAAAACTTGTGAATTTACACACAAGGGGGCTGGACGGCTAGTGAAGGGTGCCCCATGCCCCACTTGGGGATGTCAAACCCTACCACGACCATTCGCCAATGGTGCTCCAAGGAGAATGGCAGATACCATCAGAGGGTTTAGATGTGGACTCCAGTGGAGAATGGCAGATACTATCAGGGGGTTCAGACGTGGACTCCAGTGGAGTGCGGTAAACTTCTGCTTCCCACCCTCCCCCTGCCTGCATCCCCCAACCCCAGTTGTATTTATACTTCTAAGGAAGTTAACAGTGAAGCAGTAGTCACCGGGGCGTGCTCAATTTTTGACAAGCCTTAGTCACTCTGTACCCAGCAGAACAATTCACATTATATTCCAAAGCCTGTGAAGACTGCCACACAAGCTAACACTAAAATGCCAAGAGCTCCACTTACCTTCTTTATTAAGCCTCATAACCTCCCTGCTTTTGCCACCCTCTTTTCCAGCCTCTTCTAAATCTACATCTGCAGATGAAAAAGAAAAGGAAAAAAGAAAATGAGGAAAAAAGGGGGGGAAAGCCGAAGTCAAGGGGGGAGGGAGAATGTTTATTGGCAAACAGATCGATATAAATACTGTATATGGAAATCTTGCAAAAAAATGATAATGCAACATTTTTCTCCCGAGTCCGGGTTTCCATCTACCTGGCCCAGATAGGTACCAAAAAAAACTAAGCAAGCAGCAACAGAGTCGCCTTTTAAACGGGGGCCAAAGCCCCCCCCGCGGGCTGCCTGCCCCAGGGAGCCGGACACAGACAGACACACAGCCTTGCTGGCAGCCGGGCCTCTGTGTGCTCTGATGGTCTGTGTCTGTGTGTATTTATTTAGAGAGAGAGGGAGAAGCATGGAGGACGCCGGGGGCCACTCTCTCT